CCACCACCACCACCACCACCACCACCACCATTGTTAATACCAACAACTGACACGCTCAGAGAATGAGGAAGGACGTAGCTTTCTACCTTAGTCGAGTCGCGATAGTGACCAGCGCACTGCCACGCCACGCCATGACTGATCCCTCCGCCTCTGGAGGCTTTCGAAAATCGGATCAGCTGTTCAACCCATAGGATTGCATCATCATGTGCGGCAAGTGAGTCGTGTTGGCTAAATGTCAGACACAGATCTTGCAGAAATTTATGCGGAAAAACGGACACTACTCAAGTAAAACTGCCGACGAATAAGGGTGCATGTTGGCCCGAAATCGTCGACACCATTGGGGTTTACGTGAGTGGTTCTGGACCATGTGAACGTTTCGCAAATGACTCCAGAAAATCGCATCATCGCCGTAGTAGAAAGCCACGAAACCCCGGAGGAGAATTCATGTGACCCCTCTTACAACAAAACGTTCTTCATTGTTGTGGGTGCGCGACCTAAGTGGCTAGAACTTCTCGGTGTGCCGACAGAAAGCATTGATGGAGAGAATTAAGGAGTTAATATCGAGTTAAGGGTTCCTAGCACAGACTGTGATCAATAACAGGACCGAATTCACCTAGCAGACATTCTAGCAGTCATGCCAGATACAGAGAATCGAAAACATTGTTATAGCAATTATTCCCCTCAATCCAGTGATTACGCCAAAAGGTCTGTTGGCACTTTCAAAATGGTGATAGGGAAGGTGTGAAACCAGACTTCAAGATGAAACATCAGGATAGTGCTGGGCAAATTAAGCACAGCGAAGAGGTTTCTGGGCAGCCAGATGTGTGTTCCCAGTACTCAGAACCTATGACTTGAGACTTGTCAGGAAAACTCTGCCTCCAGGGGGTGTGTATCACTAGGAAAGCCACCAGAGCTATCTTCGAGGTCGAGACAAACAGTGGAAGCGTGAGGGGCACGTGAACCGTCTGAGGCAGCGGTAGGGTTAAGACTACCGGTTAGTTCTAGACCAGCATTCCGACCCCCAATGTTGAGGCTCCAGGGGCGTATAGAACCATTCGCGTGGCATGTGATTGATCAAAGTCCCTGGAGGTACGAGGTACATATTTCGACAGAGGCCCTGAACTCCACGTGGCATCCTCACTGTTGGGCCTTCACGAGTGACAGGAAACCACCCAGTCGCGGAACAGTGTCGCTTGACAAGCACACGCGCGTCGGCAACTAGCACGCTACACGCGACAACCCGGTGCCGGGAATCAGCGAAGAATCTGTCCACGCTGGGGCTCTGAGGTCAATCGGACAACACCGCGGCTGTTAGATACGGCGTCTTGAGCGGAGGTGTTCGGAATATAACTTACGTACAATCATCCCTGTTGGTCTTCTGTCCGATCGACTCGTGGGAGGAGGGGGGGCATGGCATAAAACGTAGGTACGGACCTCGACCACTACGTACCGGATCTTAGCACATACCGCGAAATCAATGCGAGTACAAAGCTCTCGGTCAGCCGGGATTTGTATCACTAGTTGCCCATCTCGACTGCCGATACAAAAGTGATCATCCCTCAGCCTTAAACTTTTGTGCAATAAATCGGTGGCAAATTGAGTGTCCCTATGTCGTCATTGGCAGTTTTGATCTCAGTGAAATCTTTAGCAGCATTCCCAGTGCATCGCCTTAACCACTCGGCCATCGCTCCCTAAGACGGACCATGCGAAACATGTGTCGGATCGGAATCCGGCAGGCGTTATTGGGAACGCGCATCTACAAGAATACCAGCCTTGACACACCCATTTGCCGATCCATTCTGCGCCAGCTGGGATCCGTGCCGTCCCCTACTTATGGTTTAAAATCCTGGTCAGTGTCGATGTGGAGCAGGGGGTGTGGCGGGACGCCTAGGTGCGGATTTTCGCCGTGTCGGCCACCTGTGCCCTCTTCCACCTCCGATCTTCTTGACTTCGTCATGATAGCGGGTTCGAATGGAAGGGTGCGGCAGATGCCGCGCAAGTATACTATTACTATAAAACAACTCACGCACAGATAACCGTCCCTGTTCTCACCCTGCTGTGGAGCGCACGGTGGACATAGTCAAAATCGACGGTCGAACTGTCGTAGCAGCAATTTCCTCCTCCTAACCAATCGACTCACCTCAGCGGATAACTTAACGCCATGTCCTCTGACGAATCATTTCCAGTTATGCGACAGGCCTAGTCGGGCCAACGGTGCTTCGCGGCTGCGGAAGAGGCAATACCTCCTCGCCTCAGACCCTGGTTATCTCTGTGAGAAAACGAAATTCGGTCATAGACCGAAAATCCAAAGCAAAAATGAACTTCTCCTGAACGACAGGTCTCTAGACTCTGGACAGTTTGGTCTGCCTCGGTTGTCCTGCGCAACCGACGGGCCGCGCAGACTTGTGCAAAGCATGATATGGTGACTTTGAATGTCCTGATGGCTTCGGCGCGAGATTCAAGAGACGATAAAGACTCAAATGTAGGAGACTACAGTCAGGGTCTTCCCACTTAACGGGTGCGGAACTATGTTTCTACATGCTGTTGATCTGAGGAATACCGGGATGTTCACAAACTGATGCTTCCGGAGGATATGGCACAGACCACATGCCAAAAGTGGAAAATCACGGCCAACCGGGGACATCTTCTGAAGATGCAGTAAAAGGTTGTCGTCGCAGATAGTCCAGCCACGCACTCTGCAGAACCGTTGACGGGACTGTCAGCTCTTCAAACTACGGCTCGATTGGACGTCGCCGCCGTGGTGGCTAACCAAAAAAATGGAGAGACGTAGTCAGGTCGGTGTTCTGGAAGAGAGTCAACTGGATGGCCTGTGTAGCGACCGCGGTGTATGAGCGCAGTGATCTAAGCTAAACCCACACTGGTGCTAGTCAGTACGAGCACAGGCAATTGGGAGCAGCGGATAAATATTACTTAAGCAGTCTGGTCCCAACAGTAGTACTATAGGCAAGTAAAGAAGATGAAAATCTAGCCGCGTTGTTTGCATACACTAGGGGTATAGTACAGAAGTAAAAAAACATGAGGGATAGGAAAAAAAAGAGAAATGCCGTTGCGTCAAAGCGCACGACGGAGACGCTCTGCCATCAGATTATGCACAGAGGCTAGTCGACGCTGTACATCCTCTAGCAGACGCTTGGCTGGCTGATTAGCTGGGTTCATTTTGAGCAGGCGAGTCAGATCGTCGTGAGCCTCGTCTAGGAGGTCGGAGGCAGCATAGGCTGAGCCCCGTCGGAAGAGTACTTTCTCAACGTCACGGATGGTTATACCGTCAGTCTGATCACCCTCCTTTTCGCCCAGAAGCTGCTCATCGGACGGCACCAAGTCGAGTGCTGCAGTGCACTGTTTCACCGCAAACGCGTTCGAGCCAGCTTTCAGCTGACAAAGAGCCATGTTTGAGAGGAGGCTAGAAAGGGTGGGGAAAGTGTGTACAGAGTGGCAGAAGGGGCGATAATATGGGTTAGTAGTGTGGTTTTATTTGAATACAAGGTTGGCCTTAGCGGTATATGCGCTGCTAAAAACCACAGAAACAACCCCCCACACATCTGGACAAAAGTACCACAAAGGCAGACGCTTTACTGCCGCGACAAATTTTTTTGAGCGATACAGAAAACAATTCAGGCCTACACGTTGATAAAGTGTCCACTCTGGATTGAAATAACGGGATCAACTCCATTCTTCGGTATATTCACTCATTTGGCGCGGCTACGTACATGCCCGATCTAAATGGCCATGATGAGATCGTGGGTTGCATACTTCCACTCGCAACGGTCTACAGTCTCAGATCTGGGGAGTTCGGCCTACTCTCTACTCCGACAGTGAATACCAAAGGCTCATTACGAACCCCCAAGTCTTGACGGACCTCGTTGAATAAGGCTGAGTTAACCTCCTTTTCGCATCATTTAAGAGGGCAGCGGCGTCGGACTAAAACTAAACTAAACACTAACCTCATGCGTGACGGACTGTGGTTACAGCTATGAGTACGGACTGCTTAATTGGAGATGAAGTCGACTAACTTTTTTCGATGGATAATCCTTAGACGGCAGTAATCAAATATCTTCCCTTCTCGCTCGTTATAAACGAGTCCAGCCCATCATTTACAATCGTACAGAGAGACTGGTAAGCCAGATGACCGGTACACGTGGAGTACCGGTGACGATTAGCCACATACATTTTCAAAGATTTTAGGAAACCCTACAAGCAGCGTTGACGGACTGTTTATTTGGCGGTAACTTCGCCTGCAGATATTTGAAGGTCAAGACAGATGGGCACTCACCGATCAGGTTACGGAACGTGCTTGTACCGTTCTGCCTTGGAGCTCATACTAGAACCCTCGCAGGCAGTCGCACAGCGACTAGTAGTCGCTCCAAGGCGCAACGGAAGAAGCCCGTTCCGTAACTTGATTGGTGAGCACCCATCTGTGATGACTGATATTCCCGATCACAGTCGACAGGACAGCGGACCTGTGGCTCAATGGTAGAGTGTCCAACTCTATGATCAAAGATCTCGGGTTCGAATCTCAAGTGATCCATTGTATATTCCCGACCGAAACCGACAGAGCAACAGACTCGTGGCCCGGTGGTTAGAGGCGTGGACTTCTAACAGGTCGCGAGTTCGAGCCTCGGGTGTTCCACACTTCGGGGTCGGGTATGACTGGCTGATGACGGCTAATAAGCCAGAAATGGCCATTCCGGTCCCTCTTGTCTTTGTCGGTACCATGTCATGTGTGAAAGTGTCCGCTTCTTCAGGTTGACAGGCATTAACCCCAAGGAAGGCCCTCCTCTGGTCAGAACTGAAGTCAAAAAACACCGACCTTCCCAGGGCCGACAAAAAACTTATTGGTTTGAGAACACACTTCGCCTGCAAGGCTATGGTCTTTAGTTTATCATAAGTAGATGCCGGTAAGACGATATCGTCGGTTTAGCCGAGGTCAGTCGGCCGGCGTTCCGATGGGGATTCGACGACGTTAAAACCTCAAACAACCCTTACAAGGATCCAGTCAAGGGCATAACTTTAAAAAGTGGGCAGTGGAATGCAACCTTGCCTTTGTGTCAGACTGAGTGCTGAACGGCCGTGAGGGATTGTTGTGGGTTAGGACTCAAGTAATGGTGAAACGATAGCGGATCCTGATCATACCAAAAAGTTTGACTATTCGCCACAAGGACCCATGATGGACGGAATTGAACGTGGCGGCAAAGTCAACAAATAAATGGGTAGTCGGATGCTGGTGGCCAGGGCGGAATTCATGAATGTGCCGCAGTACGAAGGTTTGGTCGGCGGAACCACGTCCAGCCTAACATTCGGCTTGGATGGCATGTTGTGAATTTAATATAGTAGACGGCCGCGTTCAATTTGAAAAAAGTGTACCGACGGGTTCAGGCGGATTCTGAAGGTTGATGTGCTAAGGAGGGTCCTAACTTTGAAAATCAACAGGTGCCGAGCCATTTTTGAACCATCCGGAGGGGACTTTTCAACGACCAATTGACCTGCTCACTGAACAGGCACCTAAAAAACCCTCATCTGTAGAAGTTAGAAAGCTTGCGGAATGCGGCAAAAACTGTATATTCGCCAAATTTTAGAATTTTTGGGGCACTCCAAGACGCAAAGTATCTTAATTCTTCTAGCATTTGTATCTAACGCCCAAGGAAGGCTAACTTATATTAGAAGCATAGAGGGAAACATTTGAAGAGCATATACGAATTCCCAATGATAAAGGAAACTTCGGCCGTTTCTTACTTCTTACGGGTTTGTACTTGTTATAAGCATGGCTATGTCTGATTTGGTCGGTCTAAATGATGTATCGGATGCCGTGTATTCACATCCGCTGACCAACTGCAACAGACATACTGAGATCAACCCACTGCCTTATCTAACGACGAAAACAGGATGCAATAAGTCAAAAACAAATCGACACTGACGAATTGTGCTATGCCAGATTTTGAGCTGTCGTCCTCTACTAGCTGTAACCTATGAACAAAAGAGGTAATGCATCCTTTTGTCTTTTTCAGACTCTTAGTTAATAGTTCTGCTATCGGGAGTAACATAATGCTCGAGTTTGAGGGATCGGGACGCAGTCGAAGGACCAACCTGACATGTAGTTTTGAAAGGACAATCATATCCACCCGGAAGACTGCGTCTGGCATTGGCTGAATGCAGAGGGTTGGCTTGTCGAGGTCAGCGTATTCAGCCTCAGGGACAGCACCGGGAGCCTCCACGACTGTCTCCATCAACGGCGAGGCGTCTGGGCCCTCCTTGGTCGGCAAGTGAGCGAGGGTGCCAAGTAGGGTGACAAAACGTAGAGCACGGGAGTAGCAACGGAAGGCACCATCGAGCCGGTCGGGTTCAAAGGAGGGGGTTGGTTCACCGTCGCCTGAGGCGGCGTCCCCATGGGGTCCAGTAAGTAGCCAGGTGCCACGAGCCTTCAGAGCAAGGACGCGCTCTAGCCAGAGACGCGAAAGACCTGCTGGCCAGGTTCCCTCTGGTCCGGGGCCCTCCTTCGAGGGCGGCGGTTTTTGTACAGCCTCCTTTTCCTCCCGACGCTTTTCGCCGCTTGTCTCCTCGTCAGACGTCGGTGTTGGGCGGAAGAGTGGCTGGAGAAGCAGTCGGTCAAGTTTTGCATTGAACTTTGGGGGAAAAAGTGTGTAGAATTAGCGAAAGACTCGATGCTCTTATAAACATACAAACACTTATTTTTAGGAAAACCCTGCTTGTTCAACTCACAGTAAACGCAACAGGACTGGCACCTGGCGACTCAGTGACCTCGGCTGTCACGTGAACTGTTGTTCCGACGGTAACACAGTGCAGCGCGGTCTCCAAAATTCCACGCAAACTGCCAGATAAGAGGTCAGGGGCCTGTCCAAGACGAAAACAGACTCTAGTTTTTTCAACACCTTCGACGGGCAGCGGGACCCCAGCGCAGTCCACGGTGCCACACCTCCCGGCACCGCGACAGAGGGGGCACTTTTCGAGTAGCAGCGGTCTGGGTGACGGACCGGCGGAGGAGGTGATGCGGCAGTCCGATACGGTAACCCAGCATTTGCTGCCATCCAGAGCCCCGCGTAATTGTGTAAGGGTCTTGGAGATGACCGAATGGGTCAAAATCCGGTACTTGGGGGTGTTTTCTGTCTGATAACAAAGACAACGGTAATGACGTGGATTAAAGTCAGACTCTAAGGCGTGAGTGTTATGTCAGTGCAGTGGTTTTTATACAATAAATGACAGTATATGGTTTACTTTATATAAATCTACAGGGTTCATCAGAAATGTAAATTATTAAAACATTCCCCAAAACCATTTGACTTGTAATAATTCTAGATTTCCGGCTAATCGCTTGTAGGGTAAAAAAGGAGTTCTCCATGAGCTCGTTTCTTCTGAAAGTTGCTAGTCCAGTGCTATTTCAGACATTATGCCACAGTTCAATGGTCCCCTCGTTCGCTGTACTCATCGGTAGCAGTAAAGCCGAAATTTCGCCTAGTCTAACAAGAAATAACGCGGCAACATTGTCGAAAAGCCGGATGGGAAAATAAAACATACTACATGACCCCTTAGGGTTTCGAAAACATAATAAAACGTCCTGAAGGAGGCCGGTACGCTGAATTACAATAGTTTTATGAAGATTGACGAAGTTCTTTCCATAAAAGATTCTTCGTCGTTCACTGCAGTCTTTTGTTAAAACTGACATCCAACTGCACCACCCCTAAAGCCAGAATCTTGCTCTGCACTGTTGAAGAATTACTCAAATAAGTATGATTGACGGGTAACAGAACGCTATTTAAAGACCAGCGCTTGTTACTCTTTCCAGTTTACAGTCTGTTATAAACCAGTTAGTCATACCTAACTCCAAGTCTGTAAGCCCTAGTGTCTGAAGGCGAGTGGGATGACATGAGGGCAAATGATCCATCAGTATGCTGAGGATCCACGTTATGTCGACTGCAACCAACAACATTAAAAATCGAATGGCAACTGTCACTGGCCCCGCCAGGGGAATTTTCGCATAACTTCTACACTCAAATGGTATATCCCGTGTTTTCGCCCATCCTTCATGCACTACGAGGAGTTTTAGTAAGCAAGCCTGACAAAGACACGGGCTATTCAATTGTCAAAGATGTCAGCAGATTACTGAACTACAATTTACATGAAAGCTGCACCGATAACAAAGGCAATGCTGCGGACTGTTACAATTAGTACGGAAACGGGAAATGAGACCACAGAAAGGTCGGGTGCTGCCTATACCAAAGGTAATGTAACGTCTAAAACGGAGCCGCTACCTCTATCGACTTACACAAATACCCTTGCGTGAGTCTTCTACGAAATTCTATGACAGGAGCTCGAGCTAGACGGATACTTAAGTCTGGTGACCACGAAGTGCCGTCTACAAACACCATGCGATTCTTACATCCCTGCGCAGTCAGCGACTCACCACAGACGTCAGACAGGACATGGCGCGGGGGTCAGCCGCAACGTCAAGGCGTTAAATACGTGGCTGCGTGATAGCCAACTTTTATCCCCATCGGCAACATATTTGCAGGTGTCGTGAGCGACTCAACTAAAAGAGACCCCTTTTGAGAGGCAGACTAGCAAAAGGAGAGAATCAACCCGAGCGTTGCAATCTCGTCCTCATGGGCAGAACGAGAACGCGTGTAGCGTACTGTTTCGCCATCAGACAACCATTCCACGGACACAGTCGGTGAATATCTAATTTTTCGTTTGGCAGTCAGTCGTTGGCTAATGTTTTAGGGACTAATAATTACACCGATTTTTTCATGAGAAGCTGAGATATAGGGCTGAGATAGGCTACTTCTTTTAAGTCTTCTTGACAATCCTCGTAGGCAACCGTGGTGAATAACGTTTCAAAAGACACATGTTGTTACCGACAAGCGTTACCTATTTAAGCATGTACAGGACTAACAGTTATAGTCCAAAACCGATTTTACTTAAGGGGACACGTGATTGGACTTTACTGCTCACCCATATGTACTAGGACGTAGAAATGTTCTTTTATTTGAGAATCATGCAGCTTTTTATGCCTTAACGGAAATTAGTAAGAATATGAAGATAACAAAACTACTATTGCCAAACATCCCTTTAGATATCCCGAGTAAGATTTATCGAAATTACTAGAAGACTCAGGTTAAACAAAATACGGCGACGAAACGAGAGAAAATGAGGTGGGCGAACCACGATTATTTTGTCGAAAAAAGGGCAAGTCAAAAGTAAAAAAATGTATTTGCTGAAAATAGAACATATCAGACACTGCCGCCGCCATGCAAAATATCAAACAGTATTATCCAAACGATCATAAAGGTGGCGAAGGCAGTCACAAGCCCCTCCTTGAGGATCTCACCGAAGCCTCCATATTCTTCCTCATCTACTCTCTGAAACACGGCAGCATAGATATAAACTGCAGCCATATTGACGATAAAGAACAAAGAAATAGCCATGGCTCCTTTTAAAGGAAGAAAGCCCCATATGATGCCCGTGAGTATTCCAAATAGCTGTCGCATCCAATAGATGATGTCAAGAAATTCGTCCTTCTCAACCCATTCTGCTTCCCGTTGAAAAGCCTTTTTGAAAGTCGTCCAAACACTATAGGAAACAACTGGTTTGGTCTAAAACACAAATCTTAGAAGGGCGAACGAACAAACTTTGGTCTCCCGCATCTACATAAACCGGTGAACCGGCCAACCAGTCACGAAACTACTTTTCGTTAACGGCGCGGAAAATATGGGTTAAAATAACACCCCTTCTCACAGTCTCCGTTCTTCAAAGATATACGATTTTAATTATACAAAAGATCCCAATTCAAAGGCTTTGGGTTATGTCGGTACACTTTCTTAAGAAATCGACCAGGTTCGTGAAAGGCACTTTTCGGCCTAAATGTCGTATTTGTGATCGTTCTGCGCCAACTTTATCAAATTTGTGTCAACAAAGGCCTATGCATCGGAAAAAATCAGCGGTGGCTGGCAACTCGCATTCAAGCGTCAACCAAGTAAAAAAATTGCCAATTCCAGGCTTCTTGTCGACAAACTATGGTTGTATCTTCAACAAAGCTCACGATTTGGAGCTACATTTGCCGAAGAACACATTTGAACTGAAAAGGATTTGTCCTCAAGAGACATGGTTAAATGGTAAAATTGATTTACAGCCAATTACTCCTCTATCTCCCTGCTGCTTTCGGACGAAATGAAAATCCTTATCTCGTGGCAGATTTGGAAGCGTTGCTATTTTTGTTAATCATAATTGGTGTAGAGACTATAAGTCCTTATTTTCTTACTCTGCTGATTTGATAAATGTCATCGCTGTTCTATGTAAGCCCCGTTTGTTAAGCAATTTTAAAGGCATTATATTTGTTAGTATTTACATTCCCCCCTATACCTGTGAAGGTGCTCTAGCCCGTTTTTTGACTTTAACAAAATCTTGATATATTGTCCTGCGAATAGCTTATTCTCTTATGCAGTGACATAAATCGCGTGAATTTACGACCCCTCATACATTTAGGCGTTGGAGATCTTGCCTCCTTCAATACTCACACTGATGCCGCTCTCGACCGCATTCTGACCAACCACGGCAAGCTTTTTTGTGTTACAAATAGGGCCCATTGTCAGGTTCAGATCATTATATTTCATAGGGTCTTCTGAAAATCTATTCCATCTCTAAAAGTGCGCTGTAAGCCAAGCGTGAGCGAAAAGGCAAGGTTCACAATGCGCCCGCACAAAACATTCGCTTGCTTCAGACTGACATATCTTATACTATCCCCGCTTTCCTCAGACAAGCAAATGTTGAATCATGTTCTTCCAACCTAACAACGCTTTTAAATAAAATTTTTGATTCAGAAGAGCATATGGCGAGCTTTTGCGTGCTTTCGATAAATTATCATCGGGCCTGTGCAACCATATGTGCGATCATATGTGAACGAGGTACAAATTGAGCGTGTAAGTGATAAGTGCAATCGATTACGGTTCGTCCTTTCATACAAACGGGGTATGTGAATAGAGTGGGGGAGGGGGGATAGGAGAGGAGGCAGTCAGTGACGAAGAGACTTAGGTTGAGCTGTGTCACAGGAAGTGGGTAGGGAAGTGGACGGGGCGTGAAAACCTGCATACAGTTAATCGATCCTGGCCCACGGTAGACATGGAGAGTGCAGGAGGTTCTTCTGCGAACACAGGGCCGGCCTCTGTAGCTTGATGACAGTTGTCTCTGATGTTTCTAGTAAGCGCTGACCCAGTCGCTTAGGGTAGTTAGGTGGGATCCTGTAAATCACACGGAAGGATTTATTGGGATCTACACGGTGCCCAGAATCAACCATGTATGCGAGGATGGAGCAGTGTATGCTCTTAACTTCACTCTTCCTCTCGCATGCCGGTAGATGTCCTCGTATTCTTGCGGATAGGCGCCGACTCGTACAAACAATGTACCCTGCTCCACAGGAACAAATAAATTAGTAAATGCGCCTTCCCACAGTGCCTCGCATCGATCGGTAAAAGGATGGGACCATCGGGCTATATGCGCATTCACGCAAATCTGCGATAAAGCCGCACCCTTGTTGCCATCATTGCACACATCCCTAGGCCACATGCGAACCCCCTCCACGTAGCGCGCTACACCCCGTTATAGTCATACCTCTTTCCGATAACAAGCATGTTATTCGCTCCGTCGTCACCATTATGGTCGGCGAAACATCCCATAACAAGCATGCATATCAAAAGTAAGTGGAAAGCATGTTCTTTGATGTTTCCTTGTACATGAAGTGATCAGGTTGTGTGTGGAACATGTGGAAAAACTATCTAGACCTCTCAGGCACTGCACAATTCCCGCACCAGGATATTTCCTGGCTCAGACAGTCCACTGGTGCATGTGTAGGGGAAGGTGAGGAAAACCAACACTTGAGAATCAATTACGACGGTACATCAACACATTGAATACTATAGTAAATCAGACGCACTTAAATTTACCATGTCACGGTAAAAAATCGCAACTTAGAAGGTTGCCACCTGAGAGAAAAACTCGACCCTCATGCATCGTGCCCTCACAGAATGCGCACCATCGATGCTCTTGGCGAAACCTTCTGTATTCGCCATATACTAGTAGCCTGGTCGCATCTCCCTTACCCCATCCTCGGTTGGACTCGGATGAATGAAACCGACCGCATCTGGGTTCCTATCGCCTCGGGACTGATCTTCATGATGCCCTCACTGAATGCGCTCCATTGACGCTCTTGGCGAAGCCTTCTATATTCGCCATATACTAGTAGTCTGGTCGCATCTCCCTTACCCCATCCTCGGTTGGACTCGGATGAATGAAACCGACCGCATCTGGGTTCCTATCGCCTCGGGACTGATCTTCATGATGCCCTCACTGAATGCGCACCATCGATGCTCTTGGCGAAACCTTCTGTATTCGCCATATACTAGTAATCTGGTCGCATCTCCTTAGCCCTATTCTCGGATGGACTCTGATGAATGTAACAGACCGCATCTGGGTTCTTGTCGCCTCGAGATTGGTTGTCATCGTGCCCTTACAGAATGCGCTCCATCGGCGGTCTTGACAAAGCCTTCTATATTCGCCATATACTAGTAGTCTGGTCGCATCTCCCTTCCCCCATGTTCGGATGGACTCGGTTGAATGGAACCGACCGCATCTGGGTTCCTATCAGCTCGAGACTGGTTTTCAATTTCGCCACTTATTTTTCTTATTCAAGGCGATACAGGCCAGTCCTGACTGACCCGCCTACGTACCATTTTATGAAATCCGTTACACAATGCCATATACAGCTGACATTTATTTCGGCCATGTTGATGTCGGACTATATTACATTCTGTACCGCCACATGCAGGCCAGTCCTCCCTGTATTTTTCTGATGCTATTTTTCTGAGGGTTTTTTCTCCTGTTAAATTACTACAATCATTTTTAAATTTTGCTTTGGAGTTTTTTTTCACCCCTCGTTTTTTTCATTTTCATTTTGCTTAACGGACTTCTAATCTCAAAAACTATGTATTGCACTTTGTACAGATTTTGCCTACCTCGTCTAAAATTCGCATGTAAATTTATTTTTACTTGCTTTGATTGGACCCCGACGGGTCTTTAATAAAAATAATTGAATTGAATTGAATTGATGAGTACCGTATTTATGTTGAGTGACTGGCCTGAGGACCGAGAGTCAAGCTCAGTGGTACTTTCACGGGACTGTTATGCACGTGGGGTCCTAGCCGCCCTCAGGTAAGTCTAGTATATGCTTTGTTGGTCGAGCCATGTGTGGCACGCGTAGCATTGTCCCCCAAGACCACCTCCGTTTGAACTGGCATTGCCTTGTCATCGGCATCTTGTGGGTAAGGACGGGGAAGTGTGCGCCAGATGTCGCGCAAGTCTGATTCAATATGAATTGATTCAGGTGCAGATCACCGGCGCTGTACCTACCCCGTGGAGCACACGGTGGTTGTCGTTCGCGAAGATCCAACTCTTACACAATGCCCACTGACCTTGTATACAGCCACGTACACGACGATAAAAAGTCATTTCTTGTAAAAAGTTATTGTGAAAAAATCCGTGGGCTTCCTTCTTTCTCTTGATCACCATCTCTGTGATTGTATTTTATTTTCATTTTTGATCATGATCGGACAGATCTTGTTCTTTGCCATGATTTTCAGTTTTTCGTGTATACGGATGGAGGTTATTCGGTCTGCTCGTAACGCACCTGTTTTTCCATTTAAAGGCCTGTCTAAGAGTCCTTCGCGCAGAGGTTTCTAACTGGGTTGTTTCCCGCCACTGGCTTGCTGCTTACACCTCATTGTCCAAGACTCCCATTTTAAGGCGAATAAACAGTCTCATTTTCCACTGCTTGTAATTGTATCTTTAGCCCTTCATCTTTTACACCTTTCTAAGTGCTTTGGTGGTCCAATGCCATTTCATGTCCAAAATGTGTTTGTAGGAACGAGTCATCTTATTCAGATAGGATCGTGTGATACACGACCTAGACCTTCATCAACACTCCAGTGCAATCCTGAAGGATGGAGAAATCTTCACTGTGAGAAGAGCTTTTGGACTAGGAAAACGGACCTAGATCGTGACCTAAAATTTTTTCAATGCCCCTAAAATTTATTTCAGAAAACGAAACCCGAACAGTGCTTCCGTTAAAAGGTAGAACGATCTTACGATCTTTGTACAAGGAAGTGTCTTTCCAACCAGACTACGAACCGAAAAAAGACTGGAAGGAGATAACTGAGATCGGAATTGTATGAGAGAATTGGCAGACGAGAGAAAGGGCTAAAGATCAGAAATTTAAAAATTGTCCAGATCAAGGAGTCTTTCCTGTGTTAAAAACCTGTCACAATGAAGGCCAGGCCTCTCCGACGAAACAGTTACTGAGGCTTATAACCACAAATATACAAAGCCTCTTCAACAAACTCGACGAACTAGGAGGCCTAGTTGATTAAATGAAACCAGACATTATGGCTATCACAGAAACGTAGCTTACTGAAATATCGCAGATTCAGAAATATCACTTAGAGGATATCGGCAAGTCAGAAGAGACAGGCTAGGCCGAGGAGGAAGAAGAGTGGTCAAAATTTATATCCTTTGCAAACTGACCGCTATGGCAGATGTACATAGTATTGCACGGGATGCAGAATTGTTAAGTATTACCATACCTACTAAGAATGTCCGA